GAGGATAAAAATACTGCTTGCATTATAACTCTAATACAAATGCATTTTAAATTCTTTAGTGTAGTCATTAAAACAATAATAATGCAATTATAACTTCCAAACTTGGAGGAGAGGAGCCAGATTGAGAAAAAATAATCAGTCCTAAAAACATAGGTGAGAAGAGATAAAAGACTATAAGAAAACCAGGACAAGTAAAATGATAGAAATAAATCTAAAGATATTAGTAATTACATTGAATGTAAATGGAGGGAGGGAGGGGGCAGGGAAAGGTGGTGGGGGAAGGCAGAGACAAATGTATTTGAAAAAAGAAAAAGAAAAAGAAAAAATTGTCAAATCAAGTTAAAGTAAAAGAATATATATTGCCATTTATTAGTGATACCATAACAGAAAAGTTGAAAGTTTAAGTTTAAAAAGATACATCAGACAAATTCTGACAGCCTGGGATCACTTTAGTCCAAGTTCAAGGCCTGAAGTGGTTCAGCAGTGAAAGGGCCAAGTTGTTTTCCATTCACTTCTAACTCCCAGTGTAGCTGTTCAGGATTCCAGACCGTTGCTCAGTCCCGCATGGCAGCTCAAAGATGTAAGCAGCCCTGTGGGCTGGCTTCACCCCTCCGGGTGTTAGTCTTACCCTCATCCTAGCAATCTTATTAGCTCTCTGCTACATGTAAGGTTTCCCCCCCATCTTTTGTCTATCGCTCTTTTGTAATGACATCAGCAGGTTGGCATGAATTGCCCAGTCCTCCATCACCATAAGTGAAAGCCCCTGATTCCTCACTTTTTCAGTTTATGCACTGTTTCCAAATGCCTGTCTCGTCTCCCTACCTAGACTGTTAAGTCTTTTGAACATAGCAGAAGAGTTCTAGTAATTTTATATACCTCCTGATACCTGATGAAGCACTCTAAACAGATGGTCAGAAAATTGTTAAGTACATTTGAATTTGCCTTTTACTCTATTTGACAGCATTCAAAGCAGGTTAAGTAGATGAAGATCTAAATACAGTGTCTTTGGCTTATACATATACTGATTGGTATGCTTTGACAAATGACATTTTTCACATAAACTACAAGGAGAAACAGGTCAAAAACTGCCAGAAAGTAAGATCACTATTGATTTTTGTGATTTAACCTTTGTAAGACCCAGAATTTGTCAAATGTAGGATTTATTAGGCTAAGTCAGTCTGGATATTTCTAAATAGGAGAGGAGGTGACACTTATAAATTGAGACAGAATGCTGATTAAATATAGAGAAAGTATTTCCGTTAAATTCCTTATCTGAAGATTTTCATATTGCTAAACAGGATGAAAGGTCCTTAAATGACCCTTAGTTGGTGATTTATGTCTAATTCAGTCTCACCACTTCCTGTGCACAATCAGCCAATACTAATAAAATTCCATTCAACTGGTTTCTTTTTAGTAAGGTTATTTATGCTGCTCAAGTGATACCTTATATTAGATTGTTTTGCCCACATGATTGTATAAATTACGGAGTTCAAAATGTTTTCTGTTTCACACTGTAATTTTCTATCTGACCCAAGGGCCATTTAGAAGTATATTTCTTAATTCCCAAACATAAAGGATTTTCTGATTATCTCTTTACTCTTGATTTCTAGCTTAGTCTCATCTCTAGTCTGGAGAAATACACTCTATGACTTCAATCCTTAAAAAAAGTTTAAGTTTTCTTTATGTATATGTTTTGTTTAAATACAAAAATTTGCATTTAATATGCTATTCATGTTCATTAGGTCAAATTTGCTAAGTATAACTGTTTAATTTTTTTGCACTCTTACTGATTTCTTTGTTTCGTCAATGAAGAAATGATGAAATCTGTAATTCTGACTTTGTGTCTTCTTCTACCTTCAATTTTTGCTCTAAATGAGAACTTATTAGGCTTATTTAATTTAGAACTGTTCTTTCTTCCTAGTGTTTGAGTCATTTGTCATTATGAAATGTCTCTTTATTTTTGTATTGCTTTTTTTGCCTTAAAGTCAGCTTTCCATGAATAAAATAGGTTTGCGTGGTATATATTTTCCACACTTTTACTATGGAAAGTACATCTGTGTGTCTGACAGATAATAGATTCAGAGAAGGGACAGTAACTCTTTACACCAATAAGAAAGATACATTTGACCTCATTGATTCATCCAGTGATAATTTGTTATCTTCAGTGTACCAGGATCCATGCCAAACACATTTTTATATTTAAAAGGAGTTATGATCTAATGCAGGGTACAATATGGAATTGGCACAGAAGGATTTTTGCTAAGCTCTTTCCTAGAGTCACTGATACCTACAGGTGGTTTTATAACTTCTCTATTTATATACTCATAAGTTTTGAATGTCAAATATGGTCATAAATTTTAATTTTTTTTCAAAAGTACAAACTAATGTAGTAGTAGTAGTAGTAGTAGTAGTACCAGTAGTACTAGTAGTAGTAGTAGTAGTAGTAACGATAATGGCTGACACTTAACGGAGAACTTACTATGTAACAGGGATGTGTTTAATTTTTTTTATTGTTCTATTACAGTTGTCCCAAATTTTTCCCATTGCTGTCCCCTGCCCTGCCTACCATCCCCCACTCCCACAGTAAATCCCCACCCTGTTTTTCCATGTCCATGGATCATTTAGACCTGTTTGCTGATTAGACCCTTCCCTTTCTTTCCCCCCTTATCCTCCTCTCCCCTCCCTTCTGGTCGCTGTCAATCCGTTCCTTGTTTCCACGCCTCTGGTTCTGTTTTGCTCATTCCTTTGTTTTGCTCATTAGGTTCCTGTTACAGGTAAGATCATATGGTATTTGTCTTTCACCACCTGGCTTTTTTCACTTAGCATAATACTCTCTAGTTCCATCCATGCAGTTGCGAAAGGTAGAAGTTCTTTCTTTCTGCTGCACAGTATTCCATTGTTTAAATATACCACTGTTTTTTGATCCACTCATTTACGGATGGGCACTTAGGCTGTTTCCAGCACTTTGCTATTGTAATAATGCTGCTATGAACATTGGGAGGCATAGGTGCTTTGGAACTGGTGTTTCAGGATTCTTAAGGCATAACCCCAGCAGTGGAATCAGTGGGTCAAAAGGCAGTTCCATTTTTAGTTTTTTGGGAAAATTCCATGCCATTTTCCACAATGGCTATACCAGTCTGCATTGCCACCAACAGTACACAGGGATTCCCTTTTCTCTACCACCTCTCTAGTACTTGTTTGTTGATTTGTTGATGATAGCCATTCTGACCAGTAGGAGGTGGTATCTCATTGTGGTTTTCGTTTGCATCCCTCGGATGGCTAGTGATGATGAGCATCCTTTTATATGCCTATGGGCCCTCTGTATGCCTATGCCCTCCTTATGGGTCCTCTGTATGCCTTTTATATGCCTATGCCCTCCTTAGAGAAGTGTCTATTCAGGTCCTTTGCCCATTTTTTAATTGGATTGTTTGTCTTCCTGTTGTGGAGCCCTGCGAGTTTCTTTATATATTTTGGAGATCAAACCCTTGTCCAAGGTATCATGGGCAAATATGTTTCCCATACAGTTGGTTCTCTTTTCATTTTGATGATGTTTTCTTCAGCTGTGCAGAAGCTTTTTAATTTTATATAGTCCCATTTGTCTAGTCTTTCCTTTATTTCCTTTACCCTAGAGGATATATTGGCAAAAATATGCAGCATGGGATATCTGAAATTTTACTGCCTATGTTTTCCTCTAGGACTTTTATGGTGTCATGGCTTATGTTTAATTCTTTTATCCATTTTGAGTTTGTTCTGATGTATGGTGTAAGTTGGTGGTCTAGTTTCATTTTTTTGCATATACCTGTCCAGATCTCCCAACACCATTTGTTGAAGAGACTATTTTTACTCCATTGTATGCTCATGCCCCCTTTGTCAAATATTAATTGACCATGAGACATGGGTTTATTTCTGGGCTCTCAATTCTGTTACATTGATCTATGTGTCTGCTCTTATATCACAACTAGGCTGTTCTGATTACTGTTCTTCTTTCTCAAGATTGCTAAGGCTATTCAAGGCCATTTTTTGTTCCAGACAAATTTTTGAAATATTTGTTCTAAATCTGTGAAGTATGTCATTGGTATTTTAATAGGGATTGCATTGAATCTATCAGTTGCTTTAAGTATATGGACATTTTAATAATGTTAATTCTTCCAAACCATGAACATGGTATATGCTTCTGTTTATTTTTATATTCCCCAATTTCTTTTTTCACCATTCTATAGTTTTCCAAGTACAGGTTACTTCCTTGGCTAAGTTTATTCCTAAGTACTTTATTTTTCTTGTCGCTATAGTAAATGGGATTTTTTTTCCCCTAGTTTCTCTTTCTGATATTTCATTTTTGTTGTACAAAATATGCCTTCAATTTATGAATATTGACTTTGTATCATGCTGTTTTGCCAAATTCACTTATTAGGCCAAGTAGTTTTTTTGGTGAAGCATATAGGGTTTTCTATATACAATCACGTTGTCTGCAAATAATGACAGTCTTACTTCCTCCTTTCCAATTTGGATGCCTTTCGTTTCCTTTTCTTGTCTGATTGCTGTCACTAGAACTTCCAATATTATGTTGAATAGAAGTGGTGAAAGCAGATGCCCTTGTCTTGTTCCTGATCTTATGGGGAAAGCTGTGCTTAATATTTTACATCTTCACCACAGTTGATCTTACCACAGCTCCCGCCTTTTTCTTTTACCCCTCTTGTTACTTTTAACCATCTTTCCATAGATACACAGAAAGTCAATGTTTACATATCTTATTTATTCCCTAGTTTTATCCCTATTCCTGATGAGCCCTAAAATATAATAAAACAAAATTTTAATCCAATGCATGAACATTTCCAACCTGAATTGAAAGGAAAGGAAGAATAATTACTTTATTCACAGTTGTATGCCTGAGAAGTTAGAAGCACAGAGCTTAATTTGACACAAGTAACACTCAGTGCGTGTTAGTGTCCTTAGTCTGTGGTTTTTCTGAAACTTAACCATTTGCTGATTTATTTATTTAGGAACCATATTATGTACGTTGCATCAAACCCAATGACAAGAAATCCCCCCAGCTATTTGATGATGAACGCTGCCGGCATCAAGTTGAGTACCTCGGACTGCTGGAAAACGTGCGGGTGCGACGGGCAGGGTTTGCCTTCCGCCAGACCTACGAGAAGTTTCTTCACAGGTGAGAAGAGATCCAAAGAAACCTGATAGCGCACTGAGAGTTACAGAGTCTTCCCAGTGTATGACAGCGCAAAGCATCTGAATATTTGGTGAATGAGCAAAAGAGTTGAGGAGGCAGCAGATATGAAAAACATTCCCAGAATCAGGAAGAGGAGTCTTCTTTAGTTCGTGGATTATGGACCATGGGAAAAAGTTTATTCTTTGTGAGGAAATGTGGGCATGATAGTATAGTAGGAAGAACAATGATTTGGAGTGACATCTAGGTTAGAATCCTAGCTATGCCACTCGCTGCATAATCTTGGGCCAGAAATGTAATTTCTTTGATTCTGTTTCTGCATCTTTAAAATGAGTATAGTAACACCTGCTTCATAGGTCTGTTGTTGTGAGGACTAAATAACCTAAATCAAAAGCCCAGGTGCCTTGTACACTGTAGATGTTCAGTTAATGCTGCTTGTTATTACTGACATTATTAATTACAGTTAACCCTTGAACAACACAAGAGTTAGTGGTGCCAGCACCCTGTGCAGTTGAAAGTTCTTGTATAACATTTGACTCCCTCAAACTTGACTACCAATAGCCTACTGTTAAGCAGAAACCTTACCAATAACATGAACAGTTGATTAACACATATTTTGTATGTTATATGTATTATATACTTTATTCTTACAGTAAAGTAAGCTAAAGGAAAGAATGTTAAAAAATTATAAGGAAGAGAAAATGCATTTATAGTATTAATTGAAAAAACCTTGCATGTATGTAGACTCACACAGTCCACACCCGTGTTGTTCAAGGGTCAACTGTATAATAATAACAAAATACTAAATAGTTAATCATGAAGGCCCTGAAATTAGTCTAACTGGTTTGAATCCTGGCTTTGCCATTTTGTAGCTCTGTGATTTTTCACAAATCATGTCACCTTTTCATGCTTCAGTTAACAGCTACTTCCTGATGTTGCTAGAGGATTAAATGAGATAATATATAAAAAGCACTTAGAATATTACCTAGTATATATTAATCACTCAATTAATGTAAGATATGATTGCTAATGCTATTTATTATTAATAGTGATAATGATAGTTGACAACTGGGACTCTTAAAAATAATGTTTTAAAATCCTTCTGTGCATTTATTTTAAAGTATTTATTGAACATTTCCTGTGTTCCACACTATAGATTCCACAAAAATATGATTAAATAAATACATAAGAGAGTGGATAGTCAGAAGAATCTCTAAGGAGATAATAAGGACAGGTCATAACCGGCCACACAAAGATCAGAGAAAAGAGCAGGTGGGGTAGAGAGTACAGCAGGGAAGGGCTCTGTTGCAGTGATAAGTGTGGTGTGTTAGGTACCAAACGTGGTCCATGTGGTCGGAGGATGCTGAGTGACAGGGCAATGGTGTATGATGAGATCAGGGAGATGAACAGGGACCAGATCATGTCGAATTTTGTAGTCCACAGACTAAACAGTTTTGATTTTGGCTAAAGAAGATAGAAAACTGTTGGTAGATTTTAAGCAGGGAGCAGCACAATCTTATGGCTGCTTTAAGAGATCACGGTGGTTGCTCTGTGAATAGAAAGTCAGGAGACATTCAGGGATACTATTGTAGGAGTCCATGAGAGATGGCTTAATCATAGAGCTTTGAACAAGGATCATTGTAGATCCAAGAGTAGTGGACAGATTCGCGATATGCTTGGGAAGAAAGGTGACAAGACTTGTTCATGGATTGACTAGGTGAGAGAGGAATGACAGGTAGATTTTGGCTCAAGCTTCTGGCTAAGCATGGTACCATTTGCTGAGATAAGGGAGATTGGGTAAGAGGAGTTTGAGGCGGAGGGCATGAAACAGGGAGCAAAAATGGAATCAAGATTTGTCTCTTGGATCTGTTAGGTTTGAAATGCCTACTAAACATCTAGGTAGCTAACTAGATATATGAGTACATATCTGGAGTAGGCTGGAGATAGAGATTTTTGTGATTAGTATGCAGATTATATATAAAGTCTTGGAACTTGCTAAAGAGGAGGAGGAGACGCATGCCAACATTTAGGTCTATGGTCTGACCTAAGGGAACCAGCAAAGAGAAGGAACAACCAACGAAGTAGAATACCAGGAAAGGGCTATGCCACAGAAGCCAAGAGAAGAAGCCATTTCAAAAACAAAAGTGCAGTTATCATATTAAGTGTTGCTATGCAAAGATAAAAGCAGAAGCTTAACTATTAGGCTTATAAAGGAGAAAGGGCTGGGCAGAGCTCAGTCTGAGCAGGATGGGAAAGTAAAGTGAGGAGCTGGTTGCCTGTAGACAACTCAAGAATTCATGCTGTGTGTAAGAGCTGAGAAAAATGGAAGCAGCTGCTGGAGTGGGATGTGAGGTCAGGAGCTACTAGAAAATGTTCATGTGCAGGTGGGGATGGTTCAGAACAGAGGGAGAAGTCAGTGACATAGGAGGGAGGGAGATCACTATAACAACATCCTTGAGACATAAGACTATAAGCAAGCTTGCTTTGGGGGAACAAGGAGTTTTGCAAATGCATATCTTTACCAACCTTTAACCTCTTTTTGGCCTTACTTTACTTTCAACTCAAAATGTTTTGTTGTGTTTTAGGCATGGAAGACATGCTATAAGGATTGGATTATGTTTTCTGATACTCATTGTAAAAACAAAAGAGAACAGATTAAAAAGAACCTCTAAATTTTAAATATGATGGTCTCAGTGGTACAAGCTTAAATTTCTCATTCCCACTCCAAATAATATAAAATATTATTCCCATTTCCCAGATAATATAAAATATTTATAATTAAAACCAAGTAAATGCACAGCCTCACTATAGAATCAAAAGGGGACTCTCAGTGAACCTTGAAAATGTGAGTCACTCCTAACTATGATATGAAGCAGATGGGAAGACCCAGCGGCAAGCCAAAGTTGCCGTTTTAGGGGAAGATTGCCTTGTGAGGCTTGAGCGGCCATTCAGGAAGCTACTCCAGCTGCTGTGCTGGAGTTTACACAGCTGCAGCGCCGAGAGGTTTCCAAATGGCCAGGACAAGTCACCACCTCAGCAGCTGCAAGGGAAACATCATAGGCGTAATGGCCAAGACCCAGGAAGCAAAGAGAGCAACCTTACAAGAGGCCAGCAAAGGCCCAGCTATGCATTCAGCCAGATGTATACTTGCTCCAGGCCACATAGCCAAGTGGTGGGGAAGTCGTATCTGAACGCAGCTGGCTTCCGAGCCTACAGTCCTTAAGAGTGCATTGCCTCACAGTTGAATGTAGGACTTTCTAGTCAAAGGAGGAAATAAAACTGGAATAAAGAAAACTTAGTCTGCCCTGGCCAGGGGGCTCAGTTGGAGCATCGTCCCATACACCAAAAAGTTGTGGGTTCTGTCCCTGGTCAGGGCACGTACCTAGGTCGTGCGCTCAATCCCTGGTCAGGTCGTGTACAAGAGGTAACCGATTGATGTTTCTCTCTCACATCAGGGTTTCTCTCTCTCTTCCCCCCTCCATCCATCCCTCTCCCCCCTCCCTCTTTCTCTCCTTTTCTCTCTCTCTCAAATTAATAAACATATGCTCGGGTAAAGATTAAAAAGAAAATAGAAAACTTAGTCTGTCCAAGAGAAGACAGGGTAGGAAGTGACAATGGGGAAGCACACCTGATAAAAAATATAAGGTGGGAAAATGGAAACATGTTAATAATCAGAAATGTTTTAAATTACTCTTTAAAAGACAGAATAGTGGAGAGACTGAAGTCTGTCCAATTACTGATTATTTAAGTTGAGATTAGCTCCTCTCTAGAATCATCTAGGGAGATGAGACGACGCGATGTGCATCTGGGAAGGCAGCCTGCTCCTGTTCTGCAGGCCGTGTCCCTCTCCTGCTTTACATGAATGAGTTTGTTCAAATAGAGGAATTGACTTTTTTTTTTGGTCACACAGACTTAGCAGTGAGACATGGGGTGGAATAGAAGGTGTGTAAGACATCGGGCTAATGTTTCCAGTGATCGGAGAGAAAAGGTAGTATTTCCACACTGAATTTTTGCTCTGAGATTCGGCAGGTTTCCTGTGTAAGCTAGCTTTGAACCTAAATTTTCACTTGTCATCTTTCCTTACTTTCATTCTTTTATTGAAAAAGAGAAAAATTTTTAAATTGTATTAAGGCCTTAAATGCTGCTAGTCTTTCAGGGACGTAGAACTAGTTGTCAGAAAGCAAACGAGTTTGACGTTTTAATTTGCGGGTTCAGGATGCTGATTTGCTGGAGAACTGGGGTCGGCCCCTCACTGTCGGGAAGAAAGGAAGACGCCTTGACCCGACGCTTAGCTGAGCAGAGGGACAGCAGGGTGGCTCCCGGCCTCTGCGGCCGGCCCACGCTTCACGGGCACCCCGTTCCTACCCGCGTTACAGCCCGGGTGTCTACTCTCATTCTTGTGTCATAATGAATTTGCAAGCCTTCTGATTTTGTTTCCTTCATCACATGACTTATGTAATATTACCTCTCTCTTCATCTGGTTTCTATTTTGTCCCTATCTGGCAAGTGAGTAGACTTTTAAATGTATTTCCTTCCATTTTTTTCTTTCACTCAAAAAATACCTATTTCCTTGTCATATGGCAGACAACATGATATATAGTGGGGAACAAAACAAAGTCCCTGCCTTCATGGTGCCCACAAGCTAGTAAGAGAGACTGGCATTAAACAGATAAACCCACAAATCAATGTGCTGAATGGTGTAAGGAAAAAAAAAAAAAAACCCCAGCCGGAAGCCTTAGAGAGGACTAATGGGTGTGAGGGTTGATATTTGATGAAGGAAGAGTAAGATAAGACTAAAAGATGAGAAAGAGCCAGGTTTTCAATGAATAGATTTTAAAGCATTTCAGGCAATGGGAACAATATATGCAAAGGCTCTCAAGCAAGAAAGAGGCAACATGCATTCCAGGACCCCAGAGAAAGCTAATGTGATTGGAGTAGAGAGATGGAGGAAAAGAGCAGTGAAAGATAAAAATGGTGTAAGGCTTTTTAGAAAACTACTCTGGCTGCTGACTGAGTAGGCAGAGTGGATTGGAGAGGAAATGGAAGATAATTTTGGGATTCTATTGGGTAAACTTGATGGCGGCTTGGAGTAAGATTGTGGCGGGAAAGATGAGAAAAGTTGAATTTTAAATATATTTTGGAGGAAGAGCCTATGGGACTTAATGATGGATTAGAAGGAATGATAGAGAAGAGAAGGGATCAGTGTGAGTCCCAGGATTCTGGCTTTAGTGACTGAGGGCACTGAGATGGGAAAGATTGGGAGAGGCGTTTAAGATGCCTGCAGGATCTGCGTAGACAATGGGTATATGAGAGCTGGGCTAAGGATAATAAGTTCATGAATTGAAAAAGAAAGTGATAGAACAGATGAGGTGATGTGGGAGGGTGTACATAGAGAGAGGAGCTGATGTGAGCCCTGGGGAGTGCCAACATTTGGGCCCAGTAATAGAGGGGGAGTAGCCAGAAAATGAGATTGAGGGGAAACATCCAGAGAGACCAGAGGAAGCAGGGAGAGCATGCTGTCAGAGGAGCTACAACGGGAGCTAGAAGAGAGATGTCAAGAAGGGATCGGATGCTATTTAGATATACCATATATTTTCTTAACCAGAATGTGTAAAACTTAAAGTCTCGTGAAAGGCACAGAAAGAGCCTAGAAAAAATAGAAAACTAGCTTTTGTTCTTGGATAGGACAACTCAACATCATAGACAAATTTAATTAAGTCAGCGTGGGAACCCAATAGAAATACCAGAAGGATTTGTTTGTTTTGTGATTGTTTTTCCCTAGAACTATGTAAATTGATTGTGAAGTTTATGTGGAAAAATGAACATGCAGAAATAGCTAGAAAGAACTATAAAAAAGAAAAGATACTAAAATATATTTATAACATCTGTAATGAAAACCAAGTGTTACTGATGCACAGAGGGACAGGCAGTGCAATGAAACAGACCAGGAAGCCTAGAAATGAATGAATGTATGTGAAATTTAGTATATGATAAAAATGACATAATAAATCAGAGGGAGAAAAAACAGGCTATTTAGTAAGTTGTGTTGGGAATAGCCTTTTATCAAAAGGTAAAATTGCACTGGGGGGGAGAGAGAGAGAGAAAGAGAAAGAAAAGAAAAGAACCCCTACCTTTTGCGACAGCATGGATGGAACTGGAGAATATGCTAAGTGAAATAAGCCAGTTGGTGAAAGACAAATACCATATGACCTCACCTGTAAGTGGACTCTATTCAACAAAACAAACTAACAAACAAAATAAACCACAGGCATGGAAACATGGAGCAGACTGAAAGTGACCAGAGGGGGTGGGGAAGGAGGACAATGGTGGAAAGAAGGGGAAGGGACTAAACAAAGAACATGTATAAATGATCCATGGACATGGACAACAGAGTGGGAATTGACTGTGGGAGCAGGGGGTGGGGGTGGGATGGGTGGAGGGGGGTAAAGGGGGAAAAATTGAGACAACTGTAATAGAATAAACATGATTTATAAATTTTAAAAAAATTAAAATTAAAATGTAAAAAGAAAAATAAACAATATCCAACCCAGGTATGGGGGTGTGTAAAATTGGATCCATACATCAGTCCATATACCAAAATAAACTCTGAAGAGATCAGAGATAAAATTAAAAAATAAAAACACATGTACTAGAGCATGCAGGTGAATTACTTCCTGAGTGTGAGCAAAGTCTTCCTCACTATGACTTAAATACAGATGCAATGTATGAACAGCAGTCCTAAATTTGACTACATGTATTGAACAAGTTTGCGTCTGGGCAGGGGGGCATCACTGTGGTAGGCCGCCTTCCAAGCTGATCCCAAGATCCCCACCTCCTGGTGTTCACCCTGTGTAATCTGCTTCCTGGAAGTGGGGCCTGAGCCCGGTGATTTACTTGTAACAAAATGGAATATGACAAATGTGATGGGATGTCACTTGTGAAATTAGGCTGCAAAAAGCTGTGACTCTGTGACTTCCGTCTTGCTCTCATGAGCCTGGTGTGTGGTGAATGTCCCATGAGAGGCCCCCATGGCAAGGAACTGTTGGCTGCTTGTACATCAAAACACAGTTGGGTTTTGTGTATTCATCTTGTAGGCAGGATAGTGCTTAGCATTGTTTCAGTGATAATATCTTATCAACTTGATTTCCTTTGGAGTATGTTATTCATAAGTAAAGATAGTTTTGTTCTTTTCCTAACCACCTACTAGTTCACTTATTGATCTGTCTGTTCTGGCTACAAAACCCATAATAGAGGCATCCTTGTCTTGTTTCCGTTTGTAAAGAGAATGGTTCCAAAGTTGCCCCTTTATGAATGATATTTGCTGTACGTTTTTGGTATATAGCCTTTATTAAATTAAGAAAATACTCTTCTAGACCTGGGTTGGTAAGGGTTGTTATCATGAAGGAGTGTTGTATCATATTGAAGGTTTTTTCTGCATCTCTTATCAGACTATTAAACGTATCTCTATTTGAAGTTTGCTAAGGAGTTTTTTTTTCATATTCTAAGAAGTGTTTTTTTCTTTCTATGAAAGCATTTTGAATTGTATGGAATAGTTTCTCTGCATCTCTTGAGATCATACGATTTTTCTCTCATAATCGGTGGCCTGTTCTTTTTTCACCCAGGTACAAGATGATCTCGGAATTCACCTGGCCCAACCATGACCTCCCTTCAGACAAAGAGGCTGTCAAGAAACTGATTGAACGATGTGGTTTTCAGGATGATGTAGCTTACGGAAAGACCAAAATTTTCATTCGCACACCCCGAACATTGTTTACCTTGGAAGAACTCCGTACCCAGATGCTCGTAAGGATTGTCCTCTTTCTGCAAAAGGTAATTTTATATTTTATAGATATGGAGAAGGCCTTGCTTTGATGTTCTTAAACATCTGTTGAACATTTTCTTTGATTCAAGAAATATTCGTGATGGTGGGGTTTTCTGTTTTGTTTTGTTGTGTTTGGTTTGTTTGGGTTTTTTTGTATCTATGTGTATCTTAGAATGTTTTCTGTTGCCTTCACACATGGAAAACTTATTTGGCTGTCTGAGCTCAAAATCATTTTATCCTCAAAATTCAGAAGATGTTTTGTCTTTTGATATTTTAAGGTGGAGAAATGTCTGAAACAGCCTGTTTTTTGTGTCTTGAAGTTAACTGAGTTTCCCTCAGCTTAACTGCATAAAGGCCTTTTTTTAAATCTTGTAATTCAAAAGTTTTGCCAACATGTTTGAAACAGCCTCCTACGTCCATCATTACCCGCCACCCACATTGGACTGAGGTGTGCAATGTTGACTTAATGATGCTCATTAGATCCTGGTACCTGTCAGGGTTGATCTGTACAGGGCCCTCTTCTCAGTTCACTCACTCACTCATGCATTTCTTTGTATTTCCCTGTGCCCATTTTCATACCTTATGAAGCATTTCAATGTCAAGTATTATACATGTATATGAAAAGAAATCACGTGCGTCTGCGAGAATGTCCTTGGGATATATACCCGGAGAAAGGTGGCCGTGTCATGCAGACCTAACTGGTAAAAGAGGTGCCAGGTCTTCTCCAAAATGGCCTTGCCAGTCCGCACCACCACCAGCGGCATAAGGGGTGCTGTGTACCCACGTTCTCACAGTATCTTCCAGCTGCCTCTACATTTTGCCAGACTAATAGGTATAATGATATCTCATTGTTTTACTTTTTATTTCTCTGATTACCATTGATTTGAAACATCTCATTAAATCCTTGTTTGCTTTTTGGGTTTTCCTATAAACTGCTCATTCATATCCTTTGTCTATTTTTCTACCGAAATTGGTATCATTTTCTTGTTGATCATCAGGAATTCCTTGCTTGTTTTATACATAAATCTCATATACACTTTATATGTTACAAATATATTCTATTCTGTATGCATCCTAATGAACTTTATAATGTGCGTTGTTGAAGAGAATCCTTAATCTCAACATAACCAAATTCTTCAGAATTTCACCTTATATTTTATGCTTTGGAATTTTGTCTAAGAGGGCTTTCTTTGTCTATAGGTTGCAAAGATTCTATCCTATATTTTCTTTTATGAACTGTATACCTTTACCTTTCACATTTAGGTCTTTATTCCATTTATAATCCACCTGTGTATGTGGTTTTACTTAGAAACCTGGTTTCATTTTCTTCTATATGGTGAGCAGGTTTTCTCAATACCATCTACTAAGCAATCCATCCTTTACCCATTGGTATTTTATTATATATTAAATATATGTATTCTGTTTCTGAGAGCTCTGTTCTATTTTTATATCTGCCTGTTTCTGCACTAATACCACATTTTTTATTGTAGTACGCCTTAGTATATGGTAAAATAAGTCCATCTTCTCCACTCTTCTTTATTAAGATTGGTTAACCTATACATAGACCTTTATTCTGCGGTATAAATTTTAATGTGTGTTTATTGTGTTCATTAAATTCAACAATATTTTATTAGGACTGCATCAAATTTATAGATTAATTTGAAAGGATTGACATTTTTACAGTATTGAATCATATTAAGAGAATAGAGTAGGCTTATATAAATCATTTCTCTCTTTGACCTTTAGACTTAGAGATACCTTATGAATTCATGGTTAATTCCTAGATATTTTATTGTTTTTGTTACTGCTGAGATTTTTTTATGCTATTTTGTACATGGCATTGTTGATTCAGAAAAATAATATTGGCTCATATGGGTGTACCTGTGTCTAGATGAAACCTTTGATATATTTGTTGATTCTGTTAGTTTTTCTGGGTAAATGATTCTGTCACGTACAAATAATGGACATTTTCTCCTCCCAGTTGCCAAGATGTTTCTAAGTGTTGGTCTCTTTCATTTATTTTGCCTAGAATTCAGAAAAAATTGTGGAGTGAAATGCTAAATTCTGTTGCACCCTAAAACAGTTTCCTGCTATTTTCTTTTTTAATTGCATTTACTCAGTTATGTTTTCTTTCTCAAGTTACTGCTAGTAAATTGACAGGTTAGGATCTCTGCTTTCTGTCCACCATAATACATTGTTTTTATGCCTCTTTTGTTAGGTGCTTGCCAGTGATGTTTTTGTTGTTGTTTTGCATATCTGATACTTTTTCTTCTTTATACTTATCCAGGAGATTGACTCAGGCTCAGGGTTCGGCCCTGAATTAGTGTGGCCATACCTCTCAGTGTGTTTGGTCTGCGACAGTTCTGTTTTATAACTATTAGTAGTACCCCTTTCACTCTCAATGCTGCCCCAGTATGCAGGATAAACTGTCCCCTGAACTCACCTCCTGTCGGCGTGGTGGCTGGTAGAACCCTCTTCTTAAATCTGTGGGGACAGTTTGTTCTTTCACAGTTGGCAGCGTCCCACAAACTTAGTCTCTGGCAGCTCTGCTAGCCGTAGTAGGGCCCACTCCTCTCCCTCCCAGCCCCACGGCCAGCTCTTACATACAAATTGCAGTTCCAGGTATACACACCTGTTAGGACTCTTCCTCTCTCAGTCCTCTCTACAGCACCTTTGCCTTCCTTCTGGTGAGAAATTAAAATTTCTACCTAGAGAAGAGATTCTAAAGTCAAAGGGACGACTGCCCTGAAAACCAGCCCCCGCACCCTGGGTTGGGGAGCTGTCCAGGTCTCTCTGGGATGCAGGTCTTGCATTTCCTAATCACAAGGCAGTGCAGTTAGGAACAGGGCCCTTCCTCCCAACGCTCAGGCAGACCATTCTGGGGGCTGGCATATGCGATCTGCTGATCGTGTTCTTTACACTGCTCCATGGGCCATAAAGTTAGTGGAAATTTCTGTCAGCTTCTGGGAATAGGTCATCAGTCACCTAACTTTCCATGTGATGTTTTCACATTTCCTGTATCTTTATAGGAATCTAATGGAAAGTTAGAAGAGACAACATCAAGGATGCTATTTTAGCTCTGGTTGGTGTGACTCAGTTGGTTGGGCATTGTCCCACAAACCCAAAGGTCATGGGTTTGATTCCTGGACAGGGCACATGTCTAGGTTGCAGGTTCAGTCCCTGGTCTGGGCATGTGCAGAAGGGAGCCAATCGATGTTTCTCTCCCTCTTATTCTCTCTCCTTTCCCCTTTCTCTAAAAAAATAAATAATTTTTTAAAAGGATGTTATTTTAAAAAAGAATCTCCAACAATTGGTTTTTATTTCCTTTTTCATTTAAAAATAGCTTGTATTTTTCTCTGATTATGTAATTAAAGTATGTTCATTGCAAAAACAAGTTAAAGCCATACAGAAAAGTAAAATGAAAACTGTGGAAAATCACCTAAAATCCCAGCGTCCAGAGGTAACACCATTAACATGGTGGTGACCATCCTTTGCGATGTCTGTCTGTGCATATATCTAAGCATAAATGCAATGCTATGAATGAGATCATAGCTCATATGGTGTTTTTTATACTCACCTTTCTCTTTTTCTACACTATTTTATTACACTTTTTCCCACAAGGACCTTCTCTGCCCACATCTTCTCTTATCTCCTCTGTCAAGGAGTCCCCAAGACCACTCTCGGTTTCATTGACTCACTAAAAGGACTTATAGGACTCAGTATATAGTTTTACTCTTGAGTAAACTTTATTACATAAAAGAATGTAAAGCAGAATCAGCGAAGGGAAAAGGCACATGGGGGAAGGCCCAGAGGAAACTGGGAGCAGGCTTCCAAGGGTCCTCTCCCAGGGGAGCTGCACAGGACATGCTTAATTCCTCCAGCAGTTGAGTCATGACAGCACATGAGCCAAGTGTGACCTACTAGGAACCTCACTGGAGCCTCAGTTCCCCCCGTTTTACTGGGGGCCGGTCACAGAGGTACCTCTGCCTAGATCATACCAAAATTCTTGACTCTCAAAAGGAATTCAGGTATTCAGCATAAACCACATTGTTTGTACAAGCAGTGTAAGCACATTAAACCACTGTTATTTATGGAAAGTTTTCTATCAGTGTGGGAAACTGTTTACCAGCCAAGTTCCCAGATACCAGCCAAGGGCCAACCAGCCTTGCAAACAGGCCTAAGGAAAGCAGTCTCAGGCCTGCTATGTTGACTCTTTTGGACACCCCACAGAGTCTTCCCATAATTTTCATAGACTCCCTTACACATACAGCCTTCCATACTATAGCATTCATTTCTGTGCACTGGATTTCTGGGAGCAAAATTATTGATTAAAAGGTATACATTTGTAATCATAATAGATATTAACAGTTCACATTTCTGCCCACAATGTAAGTGAACTCTTTTCCCTATATTTTATTTGTCACAGTGCTCTTCATTCTTTAAGAACAATCAGTTTTGGAGGTTCTGGTTTTAGTAAACATCCCTTATTCTGCCTCTTCCTGCTTGTCACCGAATCTTTAATAAGGCACAGAAAATGAATAAATATACACTGACAACCAGGTTCTCACATGTTAAGACCTATTATGATGTATGGTAATAAACACAGTATGATATTAATCGCTTCTCAGCCTTTTGGCTAAGATCAAGTGTAAACACAGTATGATATCAGTATAGGAATTGACTATGGAATAAAACAGTGAGTCCTAAAACAGATTAAAGTATATATGGGAATTTAATAGTAGACAAAGGCAGAATTTCAATTTGGTGAGGAAAAAGAACCAGAATTTTTTATTAAACAGAATTAGAATAGCTGGTTATTTCCCTAGAATGAAGCAACATTCATTGTACCCCCTATATCATACCATGTACAAAAATAAGTCCCAGGTCTATACACTTTTTGAAGAAGCCCAAAGTCTATAAAGAAAAAAGATAAGGCACATTCCATTATATTAAGTGAAACATTTCACATTGAAGAGCGTACCACGAACAGAGTCAAAAGACAAATGAT